TACGTTTGGCAAATTTTATCGAGAATGACTTAGATCTGGATACAGATCCCACATATATCCTTAGTTGGATTTCAGGTTTATTGTTCAAATAATGGCTAATATTAGCCAAAATGGTGTGAATCCATTTTGTGGAACTCGGCTCCGATATATATATATATTTTTAATACAATCCTTCTCGATGTGATATAATGTACTCTATAGCTATGCTATTTGGTACAAAAGATTAAAATATCTCCGTCAAATTTATAGACAAATTTTGATAGGTGGTATGGTGTACTTCAAATAAATTCCTTTGTTACGGGAGCTCTACTAAATATGCATAGTGGTGTGGTATGCATAGTGATAGTCGGCCCCTTCCGGCTTTGGACCTTTCCTTACTAGTTTGATTTGATTTTACTCAGAAATTCATTTTTGTATATCCCCATGCAATGAGGGATAATTATTTCCCAGGACATATGGCTATAGAGGGTATACAGTGTGAGATGATCAAACTACAACCAACTTCAGACTGCTGTCATTTCTAGCCACTCGTCCAACATTGTTTACAAGCGTACAAAAGCATTTTGGTGAGAATTTTCCAGAAAAAAAGTTATTCGTGATGGAATTCAATTCGATTGTATGATTTCTTTACATTTGGTTGGAAAACTACAAGCATTTAAATGTGAATACATCCTCTGTGTCTCGTAACATCGCTCGTTGCCGTGATACTGGTAGCATAGCCCGACGTCAAGGAACTGGACGGAAAAAACATCGGCAGAAATGGTTCGAAAAGTAAAGAAGCGACTTGATCGAAACCCGCCTCGCAGTGGCCGAAAAATAGCTCGTGAGCTTAACATATCGCAATATTCCATACGGCAAATATTGAAAAATGTACTCGGGTTAAAGCCAATGAAATTCCAAAAAGTGCAAAAACTTACACCGCAAGAGAAAGAAAATAGACTCAAAAGAGCTAAAGAGTTGCTTCGTTTGTGCGAAAGTGGTGAACTGACGAATTTAGTTTTCTCCGATGAAAAACATTCGTTGTCCAGCAGATTGTAAACAAACAAAATAATCGACTTTACTTGCCAAAGAGGTCAGCTGAAAATGTGCAGCTTGAGTTTCGGTTGGCAATAGAAACTCAAGCGCCGGCCATGGTGATGGTGTGGGCCGGCATAATAGGCGATGGTCGCTCTCTGTTCGTATTGATCGACCCTGGCATCAGAATAAATACCGAACACTATCGCGAAAATATTCTGGAGGGTGTATTAAAGCCTTGGACATGCAATCATTTTGGCCACAGACCTTGGACATTCCAACAGGACTCAGCACCATCGCACTCAGCACGCGCCACCCAATAATGGTTAATAGGGTTCCTCGCTTCATTTCCAGCGCACAATGGCCACCAAAATCTCAGGATACCAATCCGTTGAACTACTGTGTCTGGAGTATTTTGGAAAGCAAGGTTGGCACTAAAAAATACCAAAGTGTAGATCATCTCAAGCAAGCGCTTCGCCGGGAATGAGCCAAAATACCGCAGAGCAACATTTGGGAAGAATGTGACGATTTCATTGACCGTTTGAAGGCCATAATTCGTGCCAAAGTTGACCTATTCGAACAAATCTAAACTTATTCTAAAATTTGATGCTATTTCCGACATTTTTATACCCTCCACCTTGAAAAGGAGGGTATATTAACTTTGTCATTCCGTTTGTAACATCCTTAAATATTCGTCTTAGACCCCATAAAGTATATATATTCATAATCAGCATAAAATTCTAAGTCGACTTAACGATGTCCGTCTGTCTGTCTGTCCGTCTGTCTGTTGAAATCACGATACAGCCCACATTATTTGACGTAGAGCGTCAAAATTTAGCAGAGCTATTTGCATTGTGTCTAGGATGGTTGGTATTGAAAATGAGATATATCGGTTCACGTTCTGGTATAGTCCCCATATAACGGTACCTCCCGACATTCGGTATTTTGATGATTTATGCCACATTTTTTCACGGATTTGTCTGGAAATTGGTATTTGTAGGTCATAACGGGTCCCTGAGCGTGTGGCAAAACATTGCATGTATAGGTCCACGTTGAGGTATAGCCCCCATATAAAGGTACCTCCCGATATTCGGTATTTTAGTTTTTTTTGCCACATTTTTTCACGGATTTGTCTAAAAATTGGTATTTGTGGGTCATAATGGTTTCCAGCTCCGGTGGCGAAACATTGCATGTATGGGTCCATGATTTGGTATAGCCCCCATATAACGGTACATCCCGATATTCGGCATTTTAATGGTTTTTGCCACATTTCTTCTAATGTTTTTTTTACCCTAAGGTGGAGGGTATTAAAAGTTTGGCCTGGCCGAACTTAATGTTTTTTTACTTGTTTTCTTTCATTCAATAAGATTAAAAGAAGTAATAATTATGGCTTTTGACTTTTTTGCACTTTTTTATCTCACCCTGTATGCAGATCCACGTCTTCGTATAGACCCCAATATAACGACGACTTCCTTCATTGGATAGGTTCAATATTTTATCTGAATTTTTAACAAATTTTATTTTCTTGGAAATTTTCCAAATTCGTTAGAAATGGTGGAGGGTACTCAAAGTTTGGCCCGGCCGAAATTACTGCTTTTTTACTTTTTTCAATATTCGCAATTTCAAATTTCGACAAGCTCCTCCAACTGGCGGCTCTTGTTGAAACGAAGGGCAGCTTAAAGTTTGATCTTTCCAACAGACGAAAAATATGAAAATATTTCCTTTCAAAAGTAACGGACTTTTGGTTGTCTAAACCGATGTTGAGGCACAATGAGCCATTTTTTTACTCAAATAAAAAATGAATGTAACTAGGATGGCATCACTGCATGAAATGGAGAAGTAGGCAGCTTGAAGGTAGTAGAGGTAGTTATCATAACGTATACTTCCACAAAGAACACAAAATAATTTTCGCTGTTTCCAAACCACATTTTTTCGCAGTGTAATATTCACGCTCAACTTTATGCCATCATATGTGTTCATAAATTTGCATATTATCCTACAAAGTCCTTTGATTCTCTTTTTTTCAACTCAATATTTTTATGTTAATACGGTATTGCGAAGTAAAGTCGCATTAGCAAATACGACAACTCAGCTCAGGTGTTACAAAAATTTTACAAAATATCTACATAGAAAATTGAGACATATTTTGTGTAGCTTAGGAACGTGCGTATTGCTTCCAACGCCACACCAGTCGCTTTGCAATTTCACTAGGAAAATAACAAGGTTTACAAAAGACTCGTAGTCAAAAGAAATCAAATTTATAGTCATCAGAAATGTCTTCACGTTTTATTTTATTTGCCGGCGTTGCCTTAACAAGTCAAAGGTCATTGATGCGATACGTGAGATATTACGACGATGATGATGATTTTCAAATGTTCACCTCCGGCACAAAAATAACCATAACCATGTTCATGTCCTTAAAGGTAATGTCAAGACTCGGTATTTGCTTTTCCTAACGTCTTAACGTAATGTTGTTCAAATGCCTGTGGGCCTCTTGCTCTCACTCGTAGGTGGTTAACCTATTGCCTGTCTCATTTTCTAGGCCGTAAAAGGTCAATAAAATTAAGTGTTTCTATTTGGAACATTTTTATGATGGCAATAATATTGAAATGGCTGAAGGTGTGTTTGTTTGTCTTAATTTCCTGGGTGGATGAATGGCTATGGTTGGGACAGGTTGAAAGACAATGTATTGTGAAGAGAGGAGAATAAGGTAGAGAATATGCTACAAAGCACAAACTTGGTGGAAGAAAGTATACGAAAGTCCACCCCTCCCATACTCTTGGGACTAGAATTTTCAAATTTACAAGTAATTGTATAAGGTGGTGTTTTTGGAAATCCGCACTTAAAAATACTAAAAATCGCGATTTTATACTATAATTATACTACTTTTTTGAAATATCGAGTTAGATAATGTGTAGCTTGTGGAAATTCGTAATAAGAAAGGATAAAGGAGTAAAAAAAGCGGTTTTGAATACCCTCTACCAATTGGAACGAATTTGGCAACAAACAAAATAAAATCCGTAAAAATTCCGAATGTAGCCATTATATTATGGTCTATATGACGACGATCATGCATAGGCAAATTTTCTCATAAGCCATTAAAATATTCAAATGCGAAACTTGAAAAAAATTCGGTGAATAATATAGCTAAAATCATATACAAACAAAATACCGTAATGGATATTACAGCTTAATACAGAAAATTGTCTGTGCAGGTCCACGTCTTCGTATAGCCCCCATATATCGGTAGCTCCCGATATGGAGTATGGAGGATATAGTTCCTCTTAGCTACTTTAGTCTATGATAGAAAATTCTCGATGCATGTCCAGGTCTTGGTGTAGCACCTAAATAGCGGTACCTTGACTATATTCCATATTTTTATGATGTTAGCTACACTAATCACCGGAATTGTTTAAATTTTATCAAGATCTGTTCAGATTTGGATATAGCTCTCATATATATCTTCAAACGATTTCGGGTTAATTGTGCTCCAAATTGCCAACATCGGTCCAAATGACCTGAAGTGTAACACGTCCGACTGAATTCAATCTAGGAGCAAGTACATCGAATTTGGAGAAAATCAGTTCAGATATAGCTATAGCTCCCATATATATGTATCATCCGATCCCTCAAATGAGTAATATGCATTCCACAACAATGATATTTGGTACTAGATAACTTATGGAGCTCAGAAATACCTTTGCCAAATTATATTGGGATCGGATCAGATTAGGATACAGCTATAGTTCCCTAATTGTGACTACTCTAAAGCCATTATACGCATTCAAATAAGGTTCATAGTTGGTAAATCAACTTCACTTAAATTCCCAATAAAAACTTTTTTATGGGAACTCCACTAAATATGTACGCATAGTAATATTTCGAGGAGTTAAAAATAGAATGGCTAGTTGTTATACAAGTTTTCATTAATATTGATATATTATTCACAATATAATACTAAATTTTTCTTTTGGTTTTCGTTTCAGCTAATTGTTGAAATAAACAGTCACGTGGCTTTATTTCGCGATCTTCTAATACACGTGGGCCAAGCGAAAGACTGTCCAGAACTGCGAGAAAAAATACGAAAACTACGAAGAACATGCGTTGAGGCTTTCAAACACACGGAACAGATCCTAATGCCACAAGTAAAAAAGTGAGTGCCAATAATAATATTGAAAATATATAATTGCGAAAAGTGTAAATACATAATATGATTCATTAATGTCCGTCCGTTGTAAGCGTGCAAGAGAAGTGGCATTTTTAATATGGGTATATTTTATTTAAACTTAGGACTATATCTGATTACGCTTTAACTCCCATAAAACGGTACTTCCACAATTTTAGATATTTGAAGTGTTTTGAACACATTTTCCAACCAAATTGCTTATATTTAAGTTTCCCTTGTAATTTATTTTGCAGCACCTCGAAATATTTCAGCTTGATCCCAATATCTCAGGGTGTTACAAATTTAAGTCACATAATAGTGTAGAGGATAAAAATTCCATCTCAAAAGGACAAGAATTTCAGTACAAAACACGCTTTTCAATCCCATTTTAGAACAGACCTTCAATAACAACGGCATATATATGCCTTCAGGCTTTTTTTGGACGTAAAGTTTCCATATGGTATCCCACCTTTACAATTATTCAAAATATTAACCCATTGAGGGTTAGATACCAAATGGAGTAGACCGACATATATAAAACCAGTAAAGAAAGTCCTAAAGTCGGGCGGGGCCGATTTTATGATACCCTACACCACTTTGCTAATTTAGTTGAGCTCCACTTAATAATTAAAAGTTTTTATGAGAGAATTCAATCATACACGCTATGATTATAATTATAATTTAAAATTCAAAGGACTAAATATGCCGAAGCATTTGTATCTTTTAAATTCGGACTTGTATTGCCCATTTGGTGCGAAATTAATTTGAAATCGGATAAAAATATATATGGGAACTATATCCAAATCTGAACCGATCTCGATAAAATTTGGCAAAGATATTTCTGAACTGTATTTGATATATTTCCCTGAATATCGTTTTTACGGAGTGCATATTACGGCTGTGGGTAACAAATACAATAAATCGTATGAACAATATATATGGGAGCTATAACTATATCTGAACCGATCTTCACCAAATTTGGCATACTACCTTCTAGACTAAATTCGGTCGTATGTGCCAAATTCCATCCTATTTGGACAAATATTAGACGTTTGGTGCACAATAAATGGTAAATCGGACGAAGTTTTATATGAACCGATCTCGATAAAATTTAGCAAAGGTATTTCTGAGCTGCATTTGATATATTTCCCCAAATATTGTTGTTACAGAGTGCATATTACGGCTGCGGAGAACAAAAATAACAAATCGGATGAACAATATATATGGGAGCTATAGGCATACTTATTTTCAGGCCTAATTTGGTTGTATGTGCAAAATTCCATACTATTCGGGCTGATATTACACGTTTGGTGCACAATAAAAGGCAAATCGGACGAAGATATATATGGGAGCTATATCTAAATGTTTACCGATTATCTCAAATTTCAATAGGGTTCGTCCTTGGGCCAAACAAATGTTGTTTGGAAAATTTCATCTCAATCGGATAATAAATGCGACCTGCATTTTGTTCACAAAAATACATGGACAGACCGACGGACGGACGGACGGAAGAACGGACAGACGGAGTGACATGCATAAATCAACTCAGAAAGTGATTCTATGCAGATCATCAAAAGGAACTATGGGTCTATCTCGTTTCCTTTTGCCTGTTACAAACAAATGCACAAAGACATAATACCCTGACCACCTTGTGGTGTAGGGTATAAATATTGAGATAGTTTTAAGGAAATCGATTGGTTCATTCGCATGTAAAAAGTCTCTTTGGACCAAACCCTTTTCACGACATTTGGAATCGATCTAGCGTCTGTCACCTCGTCCGTTTGGCTGGTGCGCACGATAACTTTCCTATTTTGTACAAACTTGGTACACTGTAATATTATTATCAAAACTTAGATCGAATTCGCAGATGGGCAATATCGGTACACTCCATCAATTACCGCCACAAAAAAAGGGTCACAATGTTGAATAATGATAATGATGTAAGTGTCCAATTGTCTTCAAATTACACACATCACAATATTTCTATTAACCCAAGGTCTGGTGTGAAGATAGAATATATCAGTTTATTCCTTCTGGTACCTCCTTCAGTTCTCTTCATATTTCACACATCCCATTATTTCTGCTAACACAAGATGTGCTGTGAAGATGGTATATTTTGCTCCAATCCTTGACCCACAAAGGGTCAACATTCAAAATGTCCATGAAGCTCATAAAAGGGGAAATTAACATCCGATTCTATTCAGACTTGATGCATCTCAATATTTCTATCAACACAAGATCTTTCATAAATTTAATAGAGATCGGACTATTTCTTCTGGTACCTCCCTTACATGGGGTTCAGGATTTTAAAAAACAAAACGCTCAAAGAAAACGAAATAAGCCTCCAACTCTCTTCAAATTTCACAACTGAAAAACTACAACAAAGTCAAACGCCATAATTTTTACATTCTTTTTAAAATTTATGCAATGAAAGCAAAAAATGTCGAAAATAGCATCAAATTTAAGAATAAGTTTAGATTTGTTCGAATTGGTCACCTTTGGTACGAATTATGGTCTTCAAACGGCCAATAAAACCGTCACACGCTGCCCGAATGTTGGTCTGCGGTATTTTGGCCCAATCCCGACGAAGCGCTTGCTTCACTGTCATTAATACGAGCGGAGAGCGACCATCGCCTGTTATGGCGGCCCGCACCATCACCATGACCGGCCCTTGAGTTCTGGTGGCCAACCGAAGGTGCACATTTTCAGCTGACCTCTTTGGCAAGTAAACACGATCATTTTGTTCGTTTACAAACTACTGGACGTTTTCTCATCGGAGAAAACCAAATTCGGCCAAGCGAAGCGACTATTTAGCTCTATTGAGTTAAGTTCTTGTACATTTTAAAATTTCAATGGCTTTCAATTCAATTTTCAATGGCTCCGAGCTCATTTTTCAATATTTGCCGAATGGAATATTGCGATATGTTCATGTCACGAGCCATTTTTCGGCCACTGCGACGCGGGTCTCGATCAAGTCGCTTCTTTACTTTTCGAACCATTTCTGCTGATGTTGCTGTTTTCTTCCGTCCACTTCTTTGCCGTCGGGCTACGCTACCAGTATCACGGTAACAAGCGATGGTCCGAGACACAAAAAATAATTCACATTTAAATGCTGGAGTGCTCTAACGATAGCCATTTGTGATTTTCCAGCCAAATATAAAGAAATCATACTATAACGCTTGAATTCCATCACGAATAACTTTTCTTCTGGAAAATCCCCACCAAAATGCTTTTATACGCTTGTAAACAATATAATGAGCTGTCACTGGAATGATTTTGACAGCTGTCGGAAAAGTGGCTTTGAAATGACAGCAGTCTAAAGTTTGTTGCAGTTTTTTCATCTCACCCTGTATATGTTCCCTTACGTGGGTAACGTGTACTCCAGAAGAATGATATTTGATACCGGACATCAAATACTGATTGAAAATTTCTCTGTCAAATTGTATCGAAATCGGTTCAGATTAGGATGTAACTCCCATACATATCGATATCAAGTTTTTTGTGCACCAAATAGCTAATATCAGCACAACTGGACTGAATTTTAACAATTACGACTGAATTCATCCTATCCCCAGTACTTGAAATTTAGTGTAAAGCGGTTCGAATTTAGCTATAGCTCCCATACATATGTTTCATCCGATTTGGTGTTTAAGTCCCTCAAATTAGTAATATGCATTCGGCAACAATGATATTTGGTACCAGATATCGGAAATAACTGCTAACTAACTAACTCTAAAGCCAAATGTTAATAGGTGGTACGACCAGCTTTGAATAAATTCTTTTGTTACGGGAACTCTACTAAATTTGCATTTCAGCATTTTCTAAAAATTATCAAATATCTCATATAAAGTGAAGGTAGTAGTAGATACCTGGCACGTCGCAATATTTGTATCATATTTATTTAGGTCCGATACGAAATGGACAATATCATATTTCTATCGAAACCTACTCCATAGAGGACCAATAATTTGAATAATCATAACAGAAGTCAAAGTATATTTAAATAATCGAACATTGGATGAGGATATACTACATCTGTCGGCAAAACCGACTGATACTTTTTAACTTGTTGGTATAAATTTCAGGAAAATCGGAATCCAATCTAAACTTAGTACTAAAATCCAAAGCTCAGAGCGATCAGTTACTTACTCATGTATTGTAATATATCTTAGCATATATAAATTGCTCTCTAGATCTGTAAATATCTTAAATAAATTTTCAGCATTCTTGAAAACATCTTTATAACTATTCTGAAAAAGATATTAATAATATTACATTTTATTGCTGCTGCTGTTTTATTTTTCTTGTCTATATTAAAATAAAAACACTTCAAAACTAACCACATTTTCTTATTGCCCATCTCTCTTTTTAAATGTTTTTCATTGCTGCTACTATTGCCACTGCTGTTGTTGTTGCTGCTGTTATTGCAATGCATCTGATGTGGCTGTCATCATTGTTGTATGTCTGTTGCCGCTGCCGCTCTTGTTTAATGTTCCCTCTTGCAGTGCCACTGCCGATGGCGTTCTGACCGACAATCCACATCTTGTGCTGTTATTTTATATGGCTCAACTGTTCTTACGCGAATTAGTGAAGAGCTATCGTCTGATACAAGTGGTGCCAATGGATATGTCAGGATATTATGGTAAGTTCACATCTGCAATTTATCCATTATTCTTAATTGTTCTCTACATTCCTCATGGAAAGAAGCATTTGTTTCAATTGCGTTGCTAACGCATTCCCCTCTTACACACTGTGTCCATTATTAATACAGGGGGGAAAACAAATATTTCCACAACTTGTGGAAATTGAGAGAAATGCTATTTCTATTGAGAACTGCAAATATTTACTTTTTGTTGTAGACAAATGTATTTTTAGAGTTATAGGAGTAATGGCCAAGAATAGAAGAAATATTTCATTTATAACTACAGTTTTATTTATTGATTTGGCATTCTAGTTAAGAATATCAGACACCGTGGAACTGTAGAAGGAAAAAAATAATTACAGAAAAATCTTAGCAGGTTGGGAAAGTAAAGCTAAAAATAGATGACAAAAATATTGGCTTTTCTAAAATATAAAAATCCCTTAAACATTTTTTTTTGAAGTTTTCGGATAAAGTTTCCTTGGAATCCTAGCCATATTCTCAGTCATTTGAGCGACTCACATATTGGGGCAAAAGTCGTAACGTGTTTGCTTGATTTTTATATATATTTTTAATCCCCCCACAACACTGGGATTCAGGGTTATATGTCCTTGTGAATTTATTTGTTACCGATTGTCACTGTGTTCTTGCGAACAAGTACAAGTCGCACTAATTATCTAACTGAGATGAGTTCATTTGCTTGGTAAAACATTGGTGATAATCGGTTCAGATTAGGATATACCTCCCACAAATAGGACGCATTTAAAATTCAACCGAACTTCGTGTCTAGATGCATGCATGTATCTAATTAGGTGAAAATCGGTTCATATGTTGCTATAGCTCCCATATACATGTTTCATGCTATTTTATATTTGAGGTCTATTATATAAATGAGTAGTGAAATAAATGACTGACTGAGAATCCGCGCCCAGACGAAACGGCTGAAGATAGAATCTTGAAGTTTTGTGAGAGTGAGGGTCACTCTTGGTCTGAAGCGGCCAGATAAGGCTAGGTTTTTGGAAATTTGTACTAGAAAGTTACGAAAAGCATTAAAAGGTACTAAATATAGTAGCCATTGTATTTGAGGAAGCATTAGAGCCAGATGAGTGAGGATCACTGATGGATTGTATGATAAATGTACCAAAGGGTTTTTGGAAAATCGGACTATAAGTGTACGAAAAGAACTAAAATGTACTACATTGGGTACCATTTTGGAGTTGGAATCAAGGTTGTGGAGTAGAGTCGATGTAGGGAGGTAGTATTGGGTGTGTGTACTCATGTATACGAAAAGTTCTAAACAGTACTAAATTTTTTACAATTTGAATTTGGAGGAACAGATAGAGCTGGAATTTGAAATTAACATTACTGGCGGAGCGTAGGATTGTGATATGGAAATTTGTACTTATGTGCACGAACCGATAGAGCTGGAATTCTAAAATTTAGAAGTAAGATTACTATTGCTTTCGGGGACAGAGGAATGTATGTACTTTGGGAATTTCCTACTGATGTGTACAAAATGGTACTAAATTTTGTACAATTTAAATTTTAGGTGAACCGGTAGAGTTGGAATTCTGAAATTTGGAAATAAGATTTCTATTGAACTGTATGATGTAGGGCGTTATTATACCAAATGGTACTAAATTTGGTAAAATTTGGATATGGGTGAACCTGAAAATTGGCAAATAAGATTACCATCGGAGCATAGATTGGGATATGTAGGTAATTTTGGAAATTTTCTATTTATATGTAATAAAATGTACTAAATTTGGTACAATTTGTATTTAGGCGAAACAACAGGTTTGGAATCCTAAATTTTGGCATTGGGATTACTGTGGGTGTGTACGATTGGGGTATGGAGGAAGCGTTGAAAATTCGTACTTATGTGCAATACAGGGTGAGATGAAAAAACTGAAACCAACTTCAGACTGCTGTCATTTCTAAGCAACTCGTCCGACAGCTGTTAAAATTATTCCAGTGACAGCTCATTATATTGTTTACAAGCGACAAAAGCATTTTGGTGAGAATTTTCCAGAAAAAAAGTTATTCGTGATGGAATTCAAGCGTGATAATGGGATTTCTTTATATTTGGCTGGAAACCCACAAGTGGCTATCGTTAGAACGCTGCAGCATTTAAATGTGAATAAATCTTTTGTGTCTCGTTCCATCGCCCGTTACCATGATAATGGTAGCGTAGCCCAACGTCAAAGAAGTGGACGGAAGAAAACAGCAACTTCAACCATTGAAATTCCAAAAAGTCCAAGAACTTACACCGCAACAGAAAAAAAAATAGACTCAAAAAAGGTAAAGAGTTGCTTTACTTGGCCGAAAGTGGTGAATTGCTGAATTTGGTTTCTCCGATGAGAAAACATTCGTTGCCCAGCAGTTTGTAAACAAACAAAATGATCGTGTTTACTTGCCAAAGACATCAGCTGAAAATATGCACCTTGGGTTGGCCACCAGAACTTAAGCGCCGGCCATGGTGATAGTGTGGGCCGCCTACCATCGGCCGCTCTCCACTCGTATAAATCGACCGTGGCATCAGAATAAATGCCGAATATTATCACGAAAATATTCTGGAGGGTGTATTAAAGTCATGATGCTATTTCCGACATTTTTTGCTTTCATTCGATAAAATTTAAAAAAAATGTAAAAATTATGGCGGTGACTTTGTTGCAGGTTTTTTATCTCTCCCTTATATGTACTAAATTTGGTACAATGAATTGGGCGAACCAAGCCCTAAAATTTTGAATTGTAACTGATAGAGCTTAGAATTTTTCATGAGAACCAAGATTGGAACGTAAGTATTAAGGTGTGCAAACTGTACTAAAGTTGGAACAGTTCGGTTTAGGGTGAACGACTGAATCTAAAACTGTTGGTGGTAGGGTTGTCAAGAAATGGGGTTTTGTACGAAAAGTACTAAATAGTACCTTATTTAGTAAAATTTAGTACAATTTGGCATGGGTTGAATAGATAGTCCTTGGAATCTGAAATTTTAAATCAGTGTCGCTGTTCATGTGTAGCCTGGATATATGGAAGTGGTTTCGAAATGTCTTTTGTGTTTTGGAAATGTGTTTTATAATCCTTAGAGATAGAGCTGAAATACCAAAATTTCATATCGAGGTCTCTGTTTGTATCTGGTGGTGGTTTTGATAATGTGTTCTATAATTGTACGAATAGTACTACATTTAAATCACTTTGGATGTTTTATTATGGAGAAATGTATATAGTGGACTAAAGTATTCCACTCCTCCTTATACTTTTTTTAAATATTAGGATTAGAAAAATTTAAAGAATCTCTAATATTTTTTTTTGGAATAGTTGTTTTTAAAATTTTTTAACTTTCGTGGGGAGGTATAAGTAGGAATGGGCCGAAGAATTACATGACATCATATCTCCTGTTGAGAAAAATATTTAGATCTACCAATGTTTGAAAAAAAAAACTCTGAATTATGTCGCTAGTTATAAATATCGAAATTGTGACCCTTTTTGGGGGAGCTACAAGAAGGGGTGGACGGATATCTATTATATTCTACCTAAATTTTGCGTTTGTAAATATATTTGGGGTGTGAAATTTGAATCGAATGTTTATTACGATTTTTGGAGCAATTGGTTATCCAAAATGTTAACCTCTTTGTGTGGGAGGGACCAGAAAGAGTGATCTTGTGTTAATAGAAATATTGGGATGTGTCGAGTTTGAAAGAAATGTAGATGTTCATTTCACGTTTTATTAAGCTTCATGGTTATTAAAAATTTTGACAAGTTGTTCCGGAGATACCAGAAAACGTGGTCCGGCATATTCACACCTGATAGTATGTCAATGAAAATATTGTGATGTATGTGTAATGTGAAGAAAATCGGTTATTTATTCCCTATTTTATGAAAGTTATCATTTTCCAAAATTTTGATCCTTTGTGGGGGAGGTACATGATTGAGGGGGCCAATATTGTCCATTTTCGCACCCGACATAGAACTGACACAGAAATTGGAATTTGCCAAGTTTGAATAAAAAAGATCCTTTATTTTTCTATACATAAATTAATTTCTTTGAAAATGCTGTCATATTGTGGGGGAGGTACCAGAAGGGTTGGATCGATATTGCCCAGCTCCTCACGCGATCTAAGCTTGACCATAAAATTATTATGTACCAAGTTTTGATCAATTCTCATACTCCTTTTGGGAGTTATCGTGCGCCCCAGCTAATCAGACAGACGGAAGGACACCCCTATGTCGACTCTAAATGTCCTGTCCTCCTATAGACCCTCTATAGCCATATGGTTGAGAGTATAAAAAGGCGTAACACGAACTGTTGGAACAAGCCTAAAATTTAAAGATGGATTTTTCGCTGACGAAGTAGCGGGCACTTCCTTGTTTCTTATATAAACCTTTCATTCTTACTTTCCTTAGTGTTTGGTTTGATAATGGCGTAGTTTCTACTTATCCCTCTTTTCGGAGGACATTTTATTCAGAATTGTAAAAAGGAGAAAACATTCTGGCATAAATTGCTCAATGTTATCACCATATAACGTCACTCTCCAATTAAGAGTCCTAACACCTTTTTAGCTGGGTTACAATTCAGTATTTTACGGAATTTAACATGTAGCAAAGACAACTGATTTCACCATAATTTAAGTTTCCACATTATAAAATAATAATAGCCTTTGTAATAATATTAATACCCTGGCCTACAGTGTAAACAATGAAGAAATTGCAAAAATTCTTTAACTTTGGTGAACATTCATTAGAAAAATCCCAAAAATCAACTCTCCTCTACATTGCTATTCCTTTGTCTATCCTTTCAACCAACCGCATATTGCAAAATTTACGAATGCATTGAAACAATTATGACCTGTGGCAATAATTTAAAACGTAAAATCTTCATCAACATTGCAATTCCAGAAGAAAAACAAAGGAAACCCCTAACAAAGAACACAAATCCCAAGGAACAAAAAAAATATTGGGGAACATACGACGACGAAAATGAAAACGTTTGCATTGTGTGAACAATTTTGTAAAACGTATTTTGATGTTAGAGGATGTTGGATGTTAAGAGGATAATGGTTGTGTTATGACAGAGTATCTGTATCTGCTTGATATGTGGCAGAAGGGGGTACTACTTGAGGGGTTAGGAAACACGTACATATGTACTTACACCACAATGTAAGTGTGTGTGTGTGTGTCTATGTGTGTTATAAATGACAAATGCGGAGCAATATCTACGTGGCCATACTGCAACGGATATTACAAAAGTTTCGTTACATATTTTTGCTTTAGATTTATTAGTTTTTATTGAAACTTGAAATAAAATTCGACAAAAATGCGATTGTTATGAAAGATGAGATTATTTTTTAAAATACAGGGTGTGCAATCATTTTTATGTGATTTGAGGAGAGCTTTCCCAGTCTTTCTTCGAAAACCATAGCTCTGTTCCAAAACTGCAAGAATGTAAATAATATTGAGATAACCGATTTTCCCTAAAGTCTTAAAGTCGGGCGGGGCTGTCTTTATGATACTCTACAATACTTTGTATATTTAGTAGAGCTTCACATAACAATTCAAACTTTTTATGGGATAATTAAATCATACAAGCTATGAGTATAATTATAATTTAAAGTTCAAAGGACTATATATGCTGAAGAATTTGTATCTTGTATTGCTCATTTGGTGCACAATTAACTTGAAATCGGAAAAAGATATATGGGAGCTATATCCAAATCTGAATCGATCTCGATAAAATTTGGTAAATATATTTCTGGGCTGTATATGATATATTTCCCTTAATATCGTTGTTACGGAGTGAATATTACGGCAGTGGGGAACAAATATAACAAATCGGATGAACAAGCTATAGCTATATCTAAACCGATCTTCACTAAATTTGACATACTAGCTGCTAGACTCAATTCAGTCGTAAGTGCTAAATTCCATCCCATTTAGACTAATATTACACGTTTGGTGCAAAATAAAAGGCAAATAGGTCGAAGTTATATATGGGAGCTATATCTAAAATTACATGGACAGACGGACGAACAGACGGACATGCAAAAATCGACTCAGAATGTGATTCTATACAGATCATTAAAAGGAACTATGGATCTATCTCGTTTCCTTTTGCTTGTTACAAACCAATGCACAAAAACATAATACCCTGACCACATTGTGGTGTAGGGTATACAAACAGTTTAATTGTATCAGCCGACAGATGTATACCCCCAGCTTTGAGTTATAATTTTTCAGGTGGAATCAGATGTCCAATATTGTCCAATTCATATCTAAGCTGAGTCTGCTATAAATATTACAATGTGCCCGATAATTACTATGTGTAGACTACTACTACTACTACTTCCTATACTTTATATGAGATTTTTGCGAATTTTTGGAAAATGTGGAAATATGCGTGTGGAACCAGATATAACGAACCGAAATATTACATTTCATCTAATATAGAGAAAAATATTGGTATATGCAAAATTTAAAGGAAATCGAACATTTATATCCAATTTAATACAAAATCACAAATTTCGATTAATTACATATTCATATCAGTATAGAATTACCGACTTTATATAATGCAAGTAATGACAGATACAAGTATTGCAAATTGTGACCCTTTGTGGCTGAGGTACCAGGAGGAGTTGGTAGATATATATATCACCTTCACAACAGATCTTGTGTAAGTAAATATGTTTAGATGTGTAAAATATAAAAAAAAGTTGGATGCTTATTTCGCGTTTTACGAGCGTTTAATTTGGAAAATTAAGCATCCTTTGTGGGGAAAGTACCAGAAGTAGTTTGTCGATATATCCCATATTCAAAGCTGATCTTGTGTTAGTAAATATAATGGCATGTGTGAAATATGAAGAGAACAGGATGCTTATTTCGGATTTTATAATCGTTTTGGCTATTCAAAATTTTGACCCTTTGTGAGGGAGGTACCAGAAGAAATGGTCCGATCTTTACTATCTTCATAACAAATCAATTCAAAATTTTGGATGTTTCTGGGGGAGATGCCATAAGAAGGAACCGATACATACCATCTTCACAGAAGATCTTGTATTAGTAGAAATAATGGGATGTGTGAAATATGAAGGGAACTGTATGCTTATTTCGGTTTTTTAATCGTTTTTGTTATTCAAAACTTTGGCCCTTTGCGGAGGAAGTATCAGAAGGAATGGGCCGATCTATACCATCCTTATAACAGATCTTGTGTTGATGGAAATATTGAGATGTGCCAAGTCTGAATGGAATTGAATGTTAAATTCGCGTTTTATGAGCTTCGCGGATATTTTAAATGTTGACCCTTTGTGATGTCAGAAGGATTGGACCGGCATATTCCATATTTACACCAGACCTTTGGTTAATAAAAATATTGTGATATGTGTAATTTAAAAATAATCGGACTTTTAGCTTATGTAGGGGTGGTACTTAATGGAGTGGACTGATATTGTCCATTTTCGCACCTGACCTATCACTGATGCAAATACTAGGTTTTGAAAAGTTGTTGCAAAATTAAATAATCCTTTCCCTGTCTATGCAGAAGTTTATTTTATTTATTTTTTTTTTATTATTATTATTGTTATTATTTTTTTTGAAAATGTTGACCTTTTTTGTGGGAGGACCAATAGGAGTGGACCGATATAGCACATCTCCGAACTCAATTTAAGTTTGATAAGAATATTACAATGTACCAAGTTTGTACCAACTCGGATACTCCCTTGGAGAGTTATCGTGCGCACCAGCCAGACAGATAGACGGACGGATATCGCTAGATCGAATATCCTGGAACAGATTTGCTCCAAAAAGGCCTAGGGTCTAAAACCGTTATTTCAATGAAGCATATGGATGAGCGAATAAAAAACAAGTACGGGAAGGTTAATGTCGGGAGGGGCCGACTATATGATACCATACACCACTATGCGTATTAAGTAGGGCCCCCGTTATATTGGGAATTTATATAAATTAGATCATCCCAACTATGAACCTTAGTTGATTGCGTGACTTTAGAGTAGGCAAAAATTGGGAACTATATCCAACTCTGAATCGATTTCCAACAAATTTGACGAACCGAATTCGGTTGGATGAGCCAAAATGCAGGTCATTTGGATATTGGCCGAAATCGGTTGAAAATATGTATGGAAGCTTACATAAATCGACTCAGAAAGTGATTCTATGAAGGTCCTCAAATGGAACTGTGGGTCTATCTCGCTTCCTTCTCCATGTTAAAAAAAGATATAATACTCTTACCACTACGTGATGTAGAGTATAAAAATTGCATAACTAGTAGATTTTTTCAGGTTCTGGAAAGAAACATACTAAAGTGGTATTGCCCGGACCCCAAATAAGGATTTCCCTGTTATTTAGGAAGGTTTTTATAAGATGTACCATTTTTTTTTTTCACAACAAATAGTATATTTTTTTCTCAGAATCAGTCTTTTATTAAAATCATAATCGCCCTTAATTCACTTCAACATTTCTTTTTTTTCAGAAAATCGCGCGGGTCCCTCGAACCTCGGCAATGTCATTAGCCAAATATTACTGTGCAAACAAATAACACCGGATTTCAATCAAGAAGAGCTGTGTAGCATTACAAAGGATTCACAGGATATCGCATTGTTACTATCGGAAATGCAAGAGTTCATGCCAAAACATGAAACATATCTGGGTATGTATGTAGAACAGCATTAATACATTCATCCGTTCGCTTGTTTGTTTGGTTGTACGTTCATTCATTCAATGGCACGTCAAGAAAAAGGCTTTTGTGGTTTTATCCTTTTCATTCCGGTTTTCATGTACAATGATGATGAGTTTTTTTCCTTTTAGGTTTGCTTGTTTGTGATAACACAAACATTAGTTTGCTTTTAATGGTTTTTTGTTACTCCTGAAGCGTTTCAATTTGAGAAATTAGATTTAAACATTATATTATATAGAGTTGAGTTGAGGCTACTGGATGGAAAAATGTACTGACATTTTACACCATAGCAAAATATTAAATAATAATATTTTAGAGATGCAAGAAAAGGCACTTCACTCAAAAATGATTCTAAATAACATTATGTGAGCTGAGAAATGTGTAATAAAGGTGATAACGTAAAGTCAGAGAATCATAATACAAAAGGTGCTGACACAATTCCGGCTAAACTTTAACCAGTTATTAAAATCCCAATAATTTATACAAGCCTATGCACTATTTAGACTACGACATTGACAATTGATTAATATAATTATATTATTTCTAAATATATATAATTATTCCCTTATTTAATCAGGGAAGCATTTGCCACAAGGATTGGAGTTTTGGTGGCAATATAAAAACTCAATGATATGTTTGATAAGGTTCCGGCAGCTGTAGTTATATCCAACCTCGTATAAAAATGCTCCTCCATTCAAATCTACAATTTTAGCACTCATACTTACATGTTGAGGTAATCAATACTTTCAGTACCATTTGCATTTATTCTTCTTGGTTTGTGATAAATGAAATCTGGCCATCTACTGATTCGCCGCATTGGGAATAAATAGAAAAGGCAATAAAATGTTTTATGTTCTTTTAACTTTAAAGGCATCTATTTTTGCCATTATGGATCCTATCAACCCAAAACACTTACGCTTTTATACCCTACACCACATAGTCGTAATATTATTATGTCATTGTGCATTTGTTTATAACATGGGAAAGACAGCGATATCGACCCATAGTTACTTTTGAAGATCTTCATAGAATCACTTTTTGAGTGGATTTATGCATGTCAGTCCTTCAGTCAGTATATGTATTTTTGAGAATGAGAATCGGTGCAAATTTATGTATAGCTCGCATACCGATTTCTGGTTAATTTTACATCGAAATGGCCAATATTACTCCAAATGACCTGAATTTTGGCACATCCGAAGCAAGAGCATCAAACTTGGAGAAAATCGGTTCAGATATTCGATTCAAGATTATTGTACACCAAATGGCTAATATCAACCCAAATGGACTGAATTCTAGAAACGAGTACTTCAAATTTGGTGAAATTCGGTTCAGATATAGCTCCCATATATAGGTTTTATTCGATTTGGTGTTAAAATCCCTCATATCCGTAATATGCAGATACAGCTTAGAAATATATAACTGAACCTCCAGTTGTTCGGGATTCTCTTCTTACCGAAATTATTTCAATCTTCGTATTTTGAGTTCGTGATATGCACCATCTTTTCTGGCCGATAATTGGATTTAGAGGAATCGTTACTTTTGAGGATATTCATAAAATTATTTTCTGAGTCGAATTATGCGTGTCAGTCCGTCCGTTTGTCCATTCATTTTTGTGAACAAAATGCTGGTCGCATTTATTATCCGTTTGAGATAAAAATATTCAAACAATATTTGTTTGGCCCTAGGACGAACCACGTTGAAATTGATGAGAGTCAGTTGAAATTTAGATATAGCTCCCATATATATCATCAACCGATTTCGGGTTATCAATCCAAATGACCTTAATTTTGGCACATCCGACCAAATTAAGTCTAAAAGCAAGTACATAAAGTTGTGTGAAAATCGATTCAGATATAGCTATAGCTCCCAAATATAGGTTTCGTCCGATTTGGGGTTTTAGGTCCCTCACATACGTAATATATACTCCACAACAATGATCTGTAGTACCAGATGTCAAATACAGCTCAGAAATAAGTACCTGATATTTTATCAAGACCGGTTCAGATTTGGATATAGCTTCCATATATATCTTTATCCGGTTTCAGGTTTATTGTGACTAATATCAGCCCAAATGGACTGAATTTTGGCACTTCCGACAGAATTCAGTCTAGAAGCAAGTGCATCAAATTTGGTGAAAATCGGTTAAGATATAGCTATAGCTGCCATTTATATGTTTCATCCGATTTCGGGTTGTAAGTCCCACTCATGGTAATAAGCCTAAATATACTGAATCTTAGCATTTCCGGCGGAATTCAGCCTAGAAGCAAGTACTTCAAATTTTTGGTGAAAATCAGTTCAGATATAACTCTAGCTGCCATATATATATTTCATCCGATTTATTGTGAAAGTCGAAGTCCGATTTTATGGTGAAATTCGGTCCAGTATACCTATTGCTCCAATAAATATATTTTTAATATAATCCTTATCGAATCAACAACTATACAGCAATGTTGTTTGTTTCATAGTTGGTGTGATCTACTCGTATGGCAGTATTTCCCAAAGTATTGATCGGGCCGAAATGAATATGCAACTTTTTTCTGGACCTACTACCAAATAATATGTCGACAAAAGCAAGTGAAGAGCACACCGATTTATCGGAATATACGTCACTAAAAATACTTTCAATCGCAAACTATGAATGAAATTCTGGCTCTTGGTTGTTGGGAAGTATCGTTACCCAGTAAATTTTGGGAACCACTGGTATAGGGTATTATCCGCCCGGCTTTTTTTACTTTCCTTACAGCTTTTTATTCGATTTTCGTACATTCCATATATTTGGAGATAGAATTGTTTGAGATTTTTTTACAGCTCGCAACGGGTACCCACACCCTCATGCAGAAAATTGTCACCATAAGATCACGTATGAGCCGCTATATATTGATGCTACCCTTTAATCGGATGAATTTTGCCAGATTTTTAATGGAATTAGTGACATGTGGAGATTTGGCACACATGTGTCTTAGCCTTCGTATCGCCCCCCATAAAAAAGTATCTCAGACTTGTTTCATAGAAATTTTTTTTAAATTTCGTATTAGAAGTTTGTATCGGTACCAAACCCCAACTTTTGAGTCAGACAACGAAATTCGTCCTCATCATTACTTTATTCCTTTTATTGTTTTGCTTGTACACAAATTTTGTAACTTTAATGAAATGATATCACATAAATAAACTTGTAATTGAATCAGCCCCCCCCCCTTATAATACCTACATTTGTTCTAATATTTTATGATTATTACCACTATTTTAGTTGTAACCTTTGGTAATTCTACTTAAATACATTTCTGTTTCTTTTTTGGGATATCTCTTACAGAACGCCACACTGCACTGGATACCAATGGTCCTTGGGCAAATAAAGGACGCCACAATTACATCTGCAAAAATATGAGTTTACTTTGTTGTGTCTCTCGACCAAATTATCTCTGAAAGTAAATTGTAAGCCATCATCAGTACCAGTAGCATCACCACAATCAGCCACAATGACCATCCTCATTATCATCATCATCATCATCATCATCATTTCACCCACAAAAACAAAAAACCAAACAAAAAAAGAGGAATCAAGTCAACAAGAAATGCATAGTAAGGACATAAAAGGTTAACTGAAAAATTCAAAAAAAAAAAAAAAAAAAAAAAGAACAAAGAAACAACTTTTTTAAGAGGCAACACTCTTTCTCTATGTACATATGTACGTACGTACATAAATATTTATTTGGTTTTCTTTTACAATTGTTACACATTACCACCCTGAAAGTAATCAAAATAAAAATATATATACATATATATATATTTATTTTCCAAAGTAATTTAAGAACAAACAACCGAACAAAAATGCACCAATTAGAATTTTAGAAGAAAGAAAAAGGAAACCCAGAAATAAAAAAGAAAAGAACAAAAAATCGGAAACATAAGGTGGAAACATGAAATCTGGAAATGTTAACAAACACATCAATTATTATAGAGACTTAAGCATAGAATTTAGTCAAGAATAAACACATAATACATACATAGTTATTTACATATATACATACATATTTATTTTATGTATACATTGTAACACCATCTTATATAAATATACACTTAATTAGAATATTTGAAAGGTAGGAAATAAATCTGAAGTCAAATTTGTTATTATAGCATAAATAATTTTGTTAATATATTAAAGGAAAAAAGAAGGACAACAAATAAAAACTGAAATTTGAGAACTTATAATATAAATTATCTGGAAGCAAATAAAGAGACTCTGGATCGGTATTCGAAGTATATCTGGCAATTTGATTTTTATTTTGAATTTATTTATTTTTATTTTGAAAAATTTTGTAAAACTTAATATTTAAAAACAACTATAGTTGAGAGGGGCAACCGCCACATTTACAATTGAGAGCAATATAAATATGATTTTTATACCCTACAACACTATGTGTTGGTGGTATTATAAGTTTAATTGGGCGAAATATTGGTTTCCCACATAGGAAAGTATATATGGATCTTCCTATCTCGCCTAGCTGAGTTGATCCAGCTATGTATGTCCGTCTGTCCATGTTAATTTGTAATCACTCTACAGGATCGCAATTGTGGTCCGATCTTCACGAAATTTAAAATGTAGGTGGGGCTAGGGCCCGAGTAGAAGCCTAATATTTAGGGCTTGAATTGGACCGAAAACTGAAAAATTTCCTGATTTTGAAGTTGCTCTACAGGTCGCAATTATAGACCAATCGACACGGAAGTTAGCGTGGGGCTAGAGCTTAGGGCTGGGTAGCAGTCTTGCAATCTTTTTTGTGGGTTAAATAGACCATAACATTTGTATTAAATAAAAGTCAAATTTTCCATTTAACCGGAATTTTTTTAATCACGGCGGAATCACAAATAGACGACCATGTCAATTCTGACCGTTACGTAGATGCCGACAGTAAAAATATCGGATATACATAGCGAAATATATACAATGTGTATATACGAAGGGAGGGGATGTTAGCTAGAATGCTTATATCTCAAGAATGGCTGGACCGATTTTGACAAATTTCGCCCACTTGGCATAAAAAATAAAATCCAAAAAATCGCCTAAAAAGATTACAATAATGATGCTAATATAGATTTTGTAATGTTTTGTGAATTTTTTTTTTTATTTTTCATATTTTTTATCGCATGCGATTTTTTCAATTTGACTTGATACTGAAGTGTATATTTTGTAATATTTTTTCACCTTCGAACACAGGTTGGGGTTATTATATACAGTCTGTAATTATCGTCCGATTATCACGAAAATTTTCACAAGGGTAAGGTTAGGCTCAGAAGGGCTAGGCCTATTGTTTTCAAAGATGTCCGCAATATTTTTAGGGGTTGAAATGGACCAAAAACAGAAAAAAATTCAATATTGAAGCCAATTGACACGCCTGAGAGGAGAGTTGAGAACAAGTAAGAAGTCTAGCATTTTGGATGACCATTGAATTATATTTAACTGTAAAACGGACAACAACAACTTACAGCACGACGGAGTGCGTAAATATTGAGCAAATGTCCCTGTTCAAAAAGCTAAGAGTAATATCTGGGCAATACTCTATGACAGCGTAATCTCCCAAAATATATTTGGACCTAAGGGGGCTTCTGACATATTGTAGTGTTGTAAGGTATCACATGGTCGGTTCCGCACAACTATAGCTTTTGCTTACTTGTTTAAAATATCCTTTTTTTAGGCATGTACTGCTTTAAGGAGTGACATCTTCGAGCAATACAGTAATGTTATATTGGGAAATGAATATCTTCTATATCTATAAAAGAGGAAAATGTTTGTTTGTAATTTGTGGACTCGAAAACCGCTGAACAGATTTTCCTGAAAATTTCCAAGTATGCAACAATATCGCCTGAATGTAATATAGGCTGTATACATTTTTGAAATTCCACTTGGAACTGGATGTATGGCATCAGAATCGGAAGTACCTCCCAAAAATTTAGATTTACAGACACAGTCTCCAAATTGGAATAAGTGACGGGATTTGATTAGAAAATATATTTGCCAAATTATATGGAAATCGGTTCAGATTTGGTTTTGCTCTCACATATATATTTTCGCTCGATTTCATATATTTGATGCGCTGTGTATGCCACATTTCAATTAAATTTGGAATGTGCAATGGAATTTGTGTAAAAAATTTGTTTGCCCAATTATATTGAAATCGGTACAGAGTTGGATATAGCTCCCATATATATTTTCGGCCAATTTCATATATTTGATGCACCATACACGATACGTATATCCGATATCCGTATATCCGTGACTAAATTTGGTACAAAAATAAATTTGTCAAATTAAATTGAAATCGGTTTAGATTTGGATATAGCCCCCATATATATTTTTCGGCCGATCTCATGTATGTTATGTACCAAACACCATATGTATGTCCTATTACAATGAAATTCAGAATGTGTAGGCGGAATTTGGATACAACAATAAATTTGACAAATTAATTAGAAATCGGGTTAAATTTGGATATAGCTCCCGTATATATTCTCTACCGATTTCACATATTTGATGCACCAAACAACTTGTGTGTCTCCGATTTCAATAAAATATGGAAGGTGTGACGGAATTTAGTGTAAATGTAAATTTTGTCAAATTATATTGAAACCGTTTCAGATTGGGATATGATTTTATTAAGAAGCATTGACCCACAACGCCTTTGCAATGGTATAAGGCTAACAGTAAACAAGTAAAAAAACTGTAAGTTCGGTTCGGTCCGAACCTTGAATGCCCTTCACCAATTGGAACGAATTTGGAAATTTTCAAAAAAATATCCGTTAAAAATTGTATTAAAGGGTCTATACGACGACGCGCACCTGCATCATCAAAATCATGAGATACTACTATATGGTGGCTAAACCAAAACGTGGACCTGCACAGACAATTTTTTGTCAGAGCCTGTAATATCTATTACGAACTTCAAATGCCAAATTTGAAACAATTCGGTGAATAATATTAAAATACCGAATATTGGGAAGTACCGTTATATGAGAGCTCTACCAAAACGTGAATCTACATGGTCCATTTTCAATACCAAAAGTTCTGCAGACATAAAATACATTTGAGTAAAATTTTATCTACCTACTTTATTTCGTTCGGAAGCTAGATTGATTTCCACAGACTGCCAGTGAGATAGACGGAAGGACATCACTAAATCGAGATAGAATTTTATGCTGATCAAGAATACATGTACTTTGTGGGGTCTAAAAGGTATATTTCGAGTTGTTACAAACGGAATGACAAACTTAATATACCCTCCATACTATGGTGGAGGGTATAAACACTACACAACAATTTAATTGAGGATACGATTATTAAGGGAAAGCATGCTGCTACCTCGAATTCTTTAATTACAGCAGAAATGTCACATAACTTCAAAAGATTGCAGTTTCCTACACGCTTGGCATTAACTATGAAATTAATAAATCCGAAGGACAAACCCTTATGCTGACTAAATTTGGCATGTTCCTGCTTTTCTCATGGTCAGCTGCTTCTGGAGTGTTCACGCGTTGGTAGACCGAGTTATTTTGTTTACGCATGAACGTATTACGTTGTTGCAAAATGGTCAGGCTTAATCCCTTTATTGTTGTTTTTATAAAAACAACGTTTGTTTGTTTGTTACGTTTTTTAAATTTTTGAATGTCTTATTTTTAACCAATAAATATTTGTATACAAATTATAGGTCCACGATATCGTGTGTCCCTCATATAACGGTACACTAGATATTCGGTATTTTGATGATTTTTAGCGACATTATTCACTGGAATTGTTTCAAATTTCGTTCTTAGTGGGTACTACAGACAATGACAGCGTAGCCCTCATAGAACGATACCTCCCGATATCCGGTACTTTTGTGCTTTTAGGAGTGAAATTCACCGGAATTGTTTCAAATTTCGTATGTGAAACTCGTAATGGGTACTACAACCTATGACGGTAAATTGTCTATGTAGGTCCACGTCTTGATATAGGCCATATGTAATGGGACTACATATCAATTCCATATTTTGTATCATAGACAAATTAAATCCAATTCCACAAGCCAATTAATTCATGTCCCTTACAATGTCGTTTGACTGTAAATTGCAAATTTGTAAATATTTTAAAAATATTGCAATAATTACATAATAACGAGCCCTTTATTAATTACATTATTTATTTATTCGCAAAACGACCACATCGAGCAGAGCCATTAAATTACCAGAATCATAATTAAATGTTAATTACAACGACAAACTATGATTTTGAGTGGCTCCACTCCATTTACCGAGCAAAATTCATCGGAATTGTTTAAAAACATACACAAGGAGTTCCTTCTGAATACTTTACCCTCTGGAAGAGAATTGTCTATATAGTTGCACGATATCGAATAGCCCCCATAAAACGGTACTCCCAATATTTGCTATTTGGATCATTTTAGCGATTTTTTCGGAATAGTTTCAAATTTGCAAAAATTGTATTTGCAGGAATATCAAGATACTAACATTTAAAGAACAACGGAACCACACTTTTAGTACATTGCTGTACTGGTTACAATTATTGTTAGCCTTTTTGTAGGAATTCCACAAACATTTCCCGCCAGAGAGACCCACATGCGAACTTTGTAGATTTCGGCTGTAAAAGAATATAATCTTTATCCAAAAACAACATTTTTGGTACCTTTTTATCACGAATTTCCAAAAGTAGCGCCTTATCTAATGTTTCTTATCAAGTGTGTAACCCTGCCGAGTTTTGAAAATACCAGTTTTGAAATTATATCTTTGGTCCAAAAACACAAATTTTTAGTACTTTTTAGTATGAATTTCCCCAATTCCAACACCCCAAATTTCATGATTCAAGTCCTGGTCGTTTATCTTTGTCTTTGGTGTAGCAATCAGTCACTCACCTCTTACAATTATGTATATATAGATTGCAAACCAAGAATTTAATTTCCATTACTTCAAACCTCGGCCCTGAATTCCCTAATTTGTGTTATTATTATGATTACCTTGGGACAAAAACTTTTTTATGAACATTCTTTTCTTTTTTCAACAAACAAAGTTGTATATGAATATACTCACATATTTACATTGTGTCTGCGTGTGAGCTACATATGTATATTGTAAAATTAATTTCACAACATTTTAAATTAGGAACATGAGTTAATAATTAAAATTAAAAAAATTGTTATAAAACAATTTTTTGTCATATTTTGTATATACGTTGTATGTAATAACGAAATTTGTATACAGTTTGTCATGACTTTAATGAATTTGAAGAAATTATTACAATCCTTTTTAAATATTCTAAACCCAATTTCAAAGCCAAATAATTCATGTCAATTACAATTTTGTTTGACTGTAAATTGCAAATTTGTAAACATTTCAAAAAATATTGCAATAATTAAATAATAA